GAGAGAGAGAGAGAGAGAGAGAGAGAGAGAGAGAGAGAGAGAGAGAGAGAATGAATCATTGTTATATGCCACCACTTGGATGAGCGTCTGAGACATTATGTTGAATGAAAGAAGCTGGTCACAGGCCAGCGTTCCAGTTTTGCCATTCTTACGAAGACAAAACCAGGAAAGCAAACCAGTGGCTGTGGTTGTGGGTGGGATAGGATGAGCCTTGAAAGGATTTGTGCAAGAGCTCCAGGGAAGGCGGTGCAGCCGTCCTGGGCCCTGACTGCCGTGGAGTTTGTACAAACCTGCACATGTGTTACATTCACGGAGCTGCTCCGAGAGGAAAAGAGAAATTTACTCATTTTTAAAGTTAAAAATTACATCTTTATACAATGTGTGATTAAAAGCTAAGGCAAATGTTTAATTTTTTTAAGTTATTACAATAAAAACCGCGTTACTATGAATCTCCCTCCAAATACCGGCCCTCCCTACAAACACGCTCACTCGTTGCTCTTGCCACTTCCTCGGGAAGTTTCGAGTCCTTTCTGTGAGGGTCTTTCGTTGTCCTGTTACGGCTGCCTTAATGTCCTGAATCACTTCAGAACATTTACCTTTTGTGATCATCTTGACTTTGTGGCGGACCCAAAGCTGCACAGCACCAAATCTAGCGAGTGAGCTGGGGGAGGGCACTCTGGACAGCATTGGCAGCGGCGCTCCCTGTAACTGTTTTAGTCATCCCTGCTAAAGACACTCACAACAGGAGACTTCCAGAACTGCCTCAGAAAAGGACAAGAGTGACCGGGCAAGTGCGCCCAAACCAAGTGGGACTTTGAGAGGAACTCATGGATTCATTTCTTCTTCCTTTTTTATTTTTCTTTTGTTGTGGTACTGGGGATCAAACTCAGGACCTTGCTCCTGGATCAATTTTACTATAATGAATTCTTAAAATTTAAGCACGTGGCATATTCTGATCACCCTTTATACCCACTCCTATGTGCTTGGTACTAGAGGGAGACTTATTCAGAAAATAAGACAAGATGTGTGTCACAAGGTGTGTCGCCTTTCCCTGTGTTCTCAGCTTTCCTCTTTCATCTTCCTTTCTGAGAGGTGGCAGTGCCTTGCAAGAATGAGAGGCCCCACAATCACTCTCATACCCATGAGAGTATTTTGTTCAAAGAAAAACACAGAGAATTTGAAGATTCACTGATAATTTTAAATATATATTTTAACTTCTGGCTGGCAGGACATTCCCTCAAAAATGAATTTTATGTGGGTCATAGAAAATCGGAAAAATTGTCTGCTGGTGTAATAGCACTGTGGACACTGAATCCAGGAAAACTGTCTAAAGTTGCAGATACTTTGTATTCCCCTCTCCACAGGCGTCCTTCTGTAGAGGCGTTTCTGAGCCCAGAAAGCAATGGGAAGAGGTCGTGAGGAATTCAGACTAGGGGTGGGCTAGAACTCGTGCTTAGGACCACCTTCCAGATGCTCCTCCCACTCCCCCCCTTCGGGTCCATGGGCTCAACCACCAAGCCACCTGGGTCATCGTTCCCCGCCACCAGCCAGAGGCAAACGTGTACCGACAGACGGCAGGTCCTGTGTGTGGATTTGAGCCTGCTGACCTGTGAATAGGGGAAAGAGTAGAGAAGGATGAAATGCAAAGGACTGTCCAAAGCCTTCGGACCTGGCTAAAGTCTGCACATCAGATCATATGAGAGAGCACTGCATGGGATCTTCCCAAGCAAACATGCTGTAACAATCTTATGACTCTGAGCCCTTAGGAGCTTGGCCCTACCCTTCTGCCCAGATGCTCCAGCAGTCACATCCTTCTCTCCAGAGACTGCTACTTAACTCTGCTTATTGCCCAGGACAAAAAAACTTACACATGACGTTACTTCCTTATACATCACTTTCTTATACATCACTTCCTTTTTTTCCCCATAATTTTATTGATAAACAAATAGCAATGAAACAGTTTCAAATCAAATTGGTAGGACAGTTTCAATAATTCACACATTACATACATTCTTCCTAGTGGT